CCCCCCCAGCCAGCGGCCCCTCCAGGGTTCATAGGAGTTTGGGGAACCCTCCCGTCTACAGCAGGACCTCACCTATGAAGTGAGCAGTGAGGATGGAGGTCAGCGTGCCCCTCTCCTAGCGGTGGCACCAGTTAAGGAGCCTCTGCGCAGTCTTTCCCTGGCTGCCTGTCCCCTGACCTCCCAGGCAGCGCTGCCCTGTGGCCATCCTGGCCCCGTGGAGCAGGGGACATGGGAGAACAAACGGCTGCAGTTTGGCAAGGAGAAGGTGCACTGTGCAGCAGTTGAACATCACTGCTGTGCCTGTCACCTGGCAGCCTGAGTGCAGTCTGCTCCTGAAACAGCATCGTGCTGCCATTCAGCAATCTTGGTGGCCATACAGGCACAAGTAGTGGCACCACTTGTGATGCCCTCCAGCTCCTGCTGGTTATTTCCACCTCTTTCCTCGTGCTGCTCAGAGGAGCCATGCAGCGGTGCAGCAAGCCGGTTGGGAGAGCTGACTTGGTCAAACACTTTGGTCTAACCTGGCCAGCTCGCAGACATCAGCTCTACAGCTCGCTGCTCGGGCTCACTGTGGGCTGCAGCTACTCAGCAGCCTGAGCTGCCGTAGCTGGCTGCCCCCGCGTGCCCTCCCTGCCGCGGCAGCCCGGGGCCCGTCCTTGCCCGTCCTGCACTCCGTGGTCCCCTCGAGCAGCCGCTCTCTCATGCTGGCTCAGCAGAAAGCCCTTTGCTGTTCTCTGCAAGGAGAGAACTAGCGAGGTGAGACGGCTCAGAGCAAAGCGAGGAGAGCTCGGCAGCGCAGCACTTGGACCCTGTGCCAAGGGATTGGGGAAAGCAAGCCCAGAGCAGCTGGCTGGCAGCTGGGCAGGGCCCGCCGCAGAGCTGCGACCTGGGAGGCCGCGCCGGGCGGCACGGGCACGGCAAGGGTGCGGTGCCTGGCAGCCCGACCGCGGCCAGATCAGTGCCGGGAGCTGCTGCGCGCCGCCTGCGTCCCGAGCCACGCGGGGAGCTGCTCTTGCAGGAGACCAACCCTGGAAAGATGTGAAAGACGGTTGCTTTTCTGCCAGAACAATTGCTCCATCTGGGGCTCCGAGCTGCCGCACGTGCTGTTGTGCTGGCACAATAGAGAGGATGTGAACGAGCGCTGAGGACCAAGGATTGCTTTAAAAAAGCTCTGGCACCAAAAACATGTAACCATGGCCACACAGACGACCCCGAGCTAATGGGACTCTAGTTATCTGCAGGGCCTTTGTGAGTCCGAGCCTTATATGACACTTGACTGAATTGCCTCACTATGACTAACTTTAATGAGTACTGGATTTGAGCTCCAACGGCAGGGCTTAGTGGTGTTTTCACCTGCCCTTTTGGGTAATATTTGAACACATTTACACTTTAACAGAGAGCTGACTGTTTTTTTTTTTTTTTTTTTTTTTTTTTTTTTTTTTTTTCTCTCTCCCTTTTTTTTATTTCTTAGTTTCTTTGTGCGTTCCTGGTGGCTGTTGTGTCACTAGTGGTCCTGGCAGTATTGATGGCCTCTGATTCCCTCTATAATGCTCACAAACGGGTGTATCCATGACAGGGGGCTACATAACAGCAACACCTCTTCCCTGCTGTTGCAGTTGGATCATGCACTGCTTTGGCCAGCGCTACTGGAGTTACAGACCCACGCTGCTGTCTGCTCAAATCGTTCTCCTCCACACACACCCAATCCATGCACAAAACCCGCTCTGCATCACAGGCTGGGATACACTCATCCTCCCTGCATGGATTTTTCCCTCCCTCCCTAGCAAGCAGAGTGGCTCTGCAGTGTTGTGAAATAGCTTAACTTCCCTCTGGAGCGGCAGCCCTCGCCTGCCAGCGTGCGCCTGGTGCTCACAACGCCTCCAGCACTCACATCCCTTCTTCCTTCTCACTGACGTGCGCATATGCACACTCCTGCACGCACACCCCTGCCCTCCTCTATTATGTCTCTTGCGCCTGGTGGTTTCCCAAGGGTGAGAACCTGCCCTGAGGAGCTCTCAGCGCAGCCAGTGAAGGGGAAGTGACAGCGCCGCTCTTGGAGCTGCTGTTTTCAATGTGGATGGAGGGGGGGTGCAAGGCATTGCCATGGAGCAGGATGCACGGTACGGAGGCTGGGTCCTGCTGTGAGGCCTCTCAGGAGGCAGCTCTGCCACCGCAGCCCCGGCCGCTCCTTGGAGGTGCTGGTGGGGGTAGGCTTGGTGCCCGGCCCCGCCATGGCTGCACCTTCACCCATGAGCACTGCCCCAGGGCGGCAGCGCAGGGCACGGCACAGCCCGACCTCTCCCAGGTCAAGCCGGCAGGTATCGGAGTGCTGCTATCACACCCTGATAACAGGAACAACCTGCGCAGCGCGGCTGCAGGCAGGGAAGGGGCCGAGTGCCGCCGCCGAGCTTGTGGCGCAGAGGCTGTGCCGAGCAGCCAAGTGAGCACGGGAAGCAGGAGGAAAAGCGAGCGCTTCCAGGAATGCACATGCCTGCGGGAGACGTCAGAGCCTCCTCTGGAGCCGAGGTTCAGCTCTGTTCCCAGGAGGTGACTCTTTAGGAAGTGGGTGCGTCCTGCAGCGCACCAGGGCCGGTATCGTGGAGGCCGGGCGGGAGGCAGGAGGCCCAGCAGGAACTGTGTGGGAGGAAGCAGATCCGCAGAGCCGCCTGGGCCGCTGCATGAACCCTGGTGATGGGCGAGCAGGCGGCTCCGAGGGGACACTGCAGCAGGGCTGAGGTGGGCTTGGAGGAGCAGGGGGCTCTACGGCATCTTGGAAAGGGAAATAGAGCCACAGGAGAAGAGGAACACTGAGGGTGTTGGAGACCTGGCTCCAGGGACTGGTTCGGATGGGCAGGAAGCCGCCTGGTTTCCTTTAGCTGGCAGCTGGGGTATCAGAGGTGGGGAAACGGGATCAAGGTGCAGGTCAGGCCTGGAGCCAGGGAAGGGCAGCCGTCACCAGTGATGGGCCATCTGCAGTCACACTTCTTAATCGCTTGAGCTTCAAAAATTCTCCCAAGATCCACATTGCACTGTTCGGTCTGCTGCCTGCACAAGACACAAAAGCAACAATCATTCCTCAAAATTCCTCCTGGGCAGTGGGTTTCTGTGGGTGACCCAAATGTTTGTCGGCTCTGCTCGTGCCAGGCGGAGAGTAGGATGGAGTCCCCGTCACAGGGAGACCAAGAATTCTCACATGAGCAAACACAAGGCCAGGTACCTTGCTTGCTACCCTTCAATCAAGCATGGGAGCATCCCTTGCATAGCCACTGCCAGTGGGGGCTGGGAGACGCGAAGAGGAGCAGAGCAGAGCAGAGCCCTCTGCTCGCCAGGCGGGAGGGCCAGGAGCAGAGACACGGCCCTGAGCAGGGCTGCAGCAGGGAGAGCAGCCAGGGCTGGCGAGTTATGTAACATGCCCACTCCCTGCAGTTGGGAAATAGCTATTGCGCGAAGGCCCAGAGCTGCGGTTAGTGAGCATGGGACAGGGTCACCGACAGCGACTTATCATGTCTCGCCTTACGTGCAAGAGCTCAGCGCAGCTCGTAGGATTGCGCTGAGGTTTGGCCAAGGTGCCAGAGACAGCGGTAACGCAGAGTGCCGGGAAAGGCAGTGCGACGCTGGGAGTTTCCCAGGAAGCGCCCTCGAGCGCTGCTGCTCCGCGGGCGCCTCATGCTGCGGGCGCAGAGCTCCCCGGGGCAGCTGCCGCGTCAAGGACAGCGGCTGCGAGCGGGCTGCGTGCCAGCTCTGCCAGAGCCGCGGGGACTCCGCAGAGGCCTTCGGCAGCTCCCTGGCTCCCGTTGCTCTGCGCTGCTGCCCCATGCTCCTGTCTGCTCTTGCTTCTCATTGCATCCACTATCTCCCTGCTTTACGAGTGGCGCTTCCTCCCATGGCCCAAGGCCGCTTTCCCTTCATCTGCCTCGATCTGTGTCAGAGCCCATCTTTCCAGTATTGCCCTGTGCTCTCCTGCGGAGATGGTATCCTGCAGTCTCTTCCCTTTCCATCTCCTGTCTGGAATTGCAGGGGAAAGAGGAATTGGACCTCCAAGGGCTGTGTCTGCACCAGGAGCCACGTGCCAGCACCCTGTCTCACCAGGCTTTCCATCTCCTGCAAAGTCACCGGTGCTTCTGCTGGAGAGCTGCTGGCAGCCTGGCGGGCCAGCCCAGGGCGGCCCCTGATTCTCTGGCCTTTGAGAGACCCGGTCCAGATACCAGGAGCACCCATGGCCCCTGCACGCACCAGTGGAGGTGCCGCCGCCTGTGGCCCGGGTGTCCCGTGTCCTGTCCAGAGAAGAGGCTGCAGCTGCTGCCACCTAATGGAGCCCCTCCCGCAGGCCGGGTGAGACGAGCGCGGCAGTGCTCTGCAGCCGCCAGGCCTGCGCTCCCACTCTCAGGCAGCCCGCCCAGAGCCTGTGCCTGCGCGTGCGCTCACAGGCAGCACAGGCGACACGCTGGCGCTGGGGCTGGTACAGTCTGCAAGCGCTCAGCGTGCACATACGAAATGCACGTGCGCAGGACGAGACTCCACAGAGGGCCACATCCGACTGCTGCTGACACGAGCGCTCCATGTACCCCGCTCCATGCAGCGCACCCGACTGTGCTCCGGCTCCTCGGCTGCCAGCAGCTGGGGGAGCAGCCGGCGCGGCCGCCTCGCCATGGCCGAGGTGGCGAAAGCGAAGCAGCTTGCGAGCAATGCAGGTCACGGCAGGATGCTTTATATAACCCAGAGCCACAGAGAAAACCAAAATAGCTACCTCCCTGCTGCTCAGTTAGTCTCTTCCATCAAGCACGGATAAAATTAGAGCAGGCGGTGACGTTCACCTACGTCTGCACAGGGACTCCAGGGAGACAAGGGGAGCCGGCTTAGGGCTCTGCTGCGAGCGGCACAGGCTGCCAGAGCTTTCAAGTAAAATCCGTCAGCGAGGTTAGTGTGTGACCGCAGGGGACACGTGCGGCGGCGCGGGAGGCGGCATGGGTGGGACAGCCGGCGGAGGCTGCGCCGCGGTCACCTCTGCGCTGCGGGGACGCAGCACGAGTGCACGTCCCAGCCAGTCTGGGCCGTGGGGCAGAGCGGGGCGCTTCGAGGGCTGCACGCGGCGCCGAGGCGAATCCCGCTGCTGCAAGAGCTCTTGTGCGAGAGCTCTGGAGGAAATACGCCTCACCAGGCTGCCGGCTCCCCTTGGGAGGGTCCCGCAGGGCTTGCAGGCCCCCTGGCCTGCTGTCTTTGCCTCTCCATGGAAGCACAGGCTCCATAGTACTGGGGGATGGTGGAAAGCCAGCCCAGAAATAGTGTGTGGAGACTCCACTTAAGAAAAATGAACAAGAAAAAAGAGGCTAAGGCAAAAGTCTAGTCTGGAAGCTGGAAGACAGTTTACAGACTTACAAACAGACTTACTCCTGAGCTTAGGCACCCAGAAAAGAGCTGAGCCTTTTGCTGATGACATCAGGAACTGCAATGGCCAAAAGCCTCTGAAGACCAGGTGGAAGACAGGTGTCATTGCCCAGAGCACGCACAGATGGAGGTATCTAACTTCGGCTCTCTCCTTCGGAAGTTCTGGCTCTGTCTTTCACTGTTCGATTTACTCATCTGAATACAGGAGAGGTAGCCAGGAATGCAGGTGTCCTCCTGGTGTGACATTCCCTTGGTCTGTGACTTGGGCACGTCCTTTCCCTGATATTCAAGTGTATCTGTGTGTGTTTCGGTGTCCCATTCACTTTGTGTCTAAGGTTCTCCATCCTCCTTCAGCTGCCAGGATAAAGATTTCTGAAGGTGAGCGAGTTAATATTTGCCAAGCATTGAGAACACAACAAGAGCCCTGCAGAAAATCTCTGTGTTAATTACTATTTATGGAGGAACAACCAGGAAAAAAAAAAAAAAGCCTTCCTGGTCTAAGAGACAGATGCCCACTCATGAAGGTAATTTATGCCGTGTCCCCTGGACCTCTGCCATCCCCCCGCTCTGTCTCTGTCACACGACAGTACTGGATATCTCTGCTTGTGGAGAGGTGGCTCAGATCTCAGCCAGCTCCTCTAGGCAGCAGTCGGAGATATATATATCTGCACAGCAAGAACCAAGCTAGGCAGCCAGAGCTAGGCTCTTCACTCTAGTTTTGGAAAAAAAAATCACAGCAGAGGGAAAGAAATCTGCTCCTCTGCTCCATGAGTTCCTGGGGTTACAGAGCTCAAGGGGAAGAGGATAGAAACAGACGGATGAGAGGAAAGATGCCTGTTTCAGGCAACAGGGTCCTTCCTGATGCAGTCCTGCCCTAAGCCTGCCTGGGCAGGCTAGAAGTTGCTCACATTTTCTTGGGGACATTCATTGCTAAATACCCATCTCTGCCTGTTATCTTATCTCATTGATTGCTGGGCTTTCTAAGGAATTACTCTGGAATTCACATGTCAAACAATGCAATGCGGAAAAATCAACATGTCCCTGTGTCATCTGTTATCTTCCTCTCCTTTGGCCCATTCGGAGCGGAGGAACGGGTGCACACGCGCACGCATCCTCGAGCACGTGGAGTGGTATATGTTGATCTTAGATATTCTGAAAGGCATTTCAAAAGTGGTGTTTGAGAGTCAAACACCAGAGTCAAATACCAAAATCCAGCTCCTGTGGGTTGGTACAGAAGTCTGTGACTCCCCAAGCCACTGAACAGCCCATGACGGCACTCGGGGTCAGCTGCGAGCGCCCCCAGCCCGGCGTGGTGTGTGGGCCGCACTCACACAGCCCAGGCTTCCCCAGCTTGCCATGTTCCTTCCTTTCACTGGAATCACTGTGCTCTTTTAGCGTTTTTTTTTTAAAAAAAACTAAAGAGAGAATATGGAGGTGAAAGGAGCCATCCAGGCACTGACACTTGTTCCCCACAATTACACGCGTTTGCCCTCCAACTGCTCCGTAAATCAAAAGACACCAAGACGGTTGAGGCAGCGATGAACTGGCTGCAAGGAAAGGGCAAAGAAGTGAGGAGAATGTAATCTGGCTGCAGGCATGGGAGAGGGGAAGGCCTTGGTGCCTCCAGCAGCAAGTCCTGTGCGCTTGCACCTTGTCCGTGCGGGCTCCTCCAAGCCAGTTCCTACGGGACGAAGAAGTAATGCTTGAACAGAGAATATTATGCTTTCTTGTTATGGACAAGAGCAGGAGAGCACTACGATACAGGCTGGGATCCCCTGGGATTGCCTGGGGGACTCTCTCTTACCAGAGGCATCTGGGCTGGCCTCAGATGTGTAAGGAGCAGGATTAATTTGCAGTCCCTCCTGCGTCACTTGTGAGAAGATTTAATGGCTGGGATTTCCCTCTCTTGTCCTGGAGGATCAGAGTTCCTTGT